GTTTTATATCTGTAGCAATGTTATTGTGGAGCGGTGTGAATTGTTTGCCCAGCAGGGGGTTCACACACACCCCCTTTCCCATCACCATGCTCACCAACAGCTAAAGACTTAGCTACGATACTCTACACACAGAAACCCAACAGTGTCCTGACTAACCTTATGGCAATAAAATAATTCATTTGTTTATACTGATTGAAAATGTCCAATGAGTCCATTTCCATTCCGGTGACAGAATGGAACGCTAGTGTACTGAGAGAAAAGGTTAAGGAGCTCTTGCTATAGAAACGATAATGTATTGTTCTTGCTCTGACTACTGTTAGAGCCATGCTGTAATCGAAAATTAATCAACGCCTTTGGAAAAAAATCAGATATGAGTATTTAACAGTGCTCTGGTGTAAAAGTAAATAAACAATATCCATTCATCCATCCATCCATCCATCCATTTTCTGTACCGCTTATTCTACAAGGTCTTGGTGAGCCTGGAGCCTATGGACAATTTAGAGATGCTAATCATCCTACAACGCACGTCTTTGGACTGGGGGAGGAAATGGAAGTATCCCCAGAGGAAACTCCCTAAGCACGGGGAAAACATGCAAACTCCGCGCACACAGGGCAGAGGCAGGTATTGAACCTCCCGACCCTGAAGGTGCGAGGCAAACGTGCTAACCACTAAGCCACCGTGCCCCCATAAACAATATCCATATCCCAGAATATTGTTAATTCTGTGTTTTGATCTAGTGTTTGGATTTGTGTTTTTTTTTTTTATGTACAACACTCAGAGATTTAGAAGCCCAGCACCTTGCATGCTGATGGTCTTCCTTGTCCTTTGCCTTCACTTTTACAAGCATATTACATCGCAGCAAATAAAATTGCTCTTCCAGAAGGTGCAAGGTTCTTAAATAATAAAACAATAATCCACCCAATGATACAAACCATCAAACCACATCATAACTAAGATGCCAGGGGGCACAAGAGAATGGCACTTGAAAGGGAATTGAATATGGGTTCAAGGCAGGGTGTGAAAATTGCTTTGACCTTTACAAGATGTTTTGCCTAGGATAGAGATGTGGAGTGAAATGAAGAGTTGTGAATGAGAGTCTTACCAGCGTCTGAGCTGCAGGTTTGAGAGAGGGACACTGCGCAGAGCGGAGCCCAACACCATGAAGAAGACTGTGAGCAGGAGAGAGGCCCGTAACCCTGCGACACAGGGGACAGGGACAATGTAATAACATGGCAGAGAGTCAGTAAGCAAGTAAAAAGCCAATTTCTTTCTTTCTTTTTTTTTTTTTTTATATTTAACTCTGTGCAAGAGTACTCTGAATTTACCAATAACATTTTGATCACTAGTTCACACAAAGATTACATTTATTCTTAAATACAGGAATTTCCCATAGGTGTGAATGAATGCGTGTGCATGGTGCCCTGCAATGGCCTGGCGTCCCATCCAGGGCGTATTCCCACTTCATGCCCAGTGTTCCCGGGATAGTATCCGGATCCCCGGAGACCCTGACCAGGATAAAGCAGTTACTGAAGATGACCACCTCACCATGTCACTGGATTTGTACAATTTGGGACCCTTATTCATGCTTAATACTGAAAGCGAGGTTAATTTATTTCTGTAGTTGTGGGAATTGCAGCATCAGTGTTGTGAGGAATTTCAGTGGAAATATGACAATGGCATTTCAGATTGTTACAGAAAATGAAATTGAATTGTCTTCTGCAGAAAGGGCAGCTTGAGATCTTTAGATTGAGATACAAGTTTTCTGTACAGGACCATAAAGAAATTAAATGCAATGATGTGAACGATATCATGATGGGGTCCTTCATAGAGCAGAAAAAGGGCCTCAGTGATGAGACCTTTAAACATAAGCGGCTTTTCCTCTCTGAACAATCTGTCTTACAGACTGAAAAGAAATTCCTTAAAAGAGGAATTTTTAATACTTTCCTAATGATGTGTAGTGACTTCTCTCATTTCTTTCCAGTTAGAAGGTAACTGAAACCTGCATGTATCCATTATATAACCACTAATGTCAATCTACAATCCCTGCATTAACCGTATACAGTGAGATTTCTTCAAGATTTGTTCAACCTGAATGGAGGCAATCTGCTGTTAGAAACTGGGTTCTGCCACATCAGCAGGAATGAGCTCTACTCAAGCAGGTTACACAGGAACTCTTTCACTGATGAACCACTTCACGCGGCTGTCAGCTTTTAGCTACATAGGCTGACTGTTATATAAGTGACAAACTCTAACAGCCAGCACTTTTATTTTCTATGGCTGGTACAAAGTCACCTATTCAGAGGCAGTGACTCGGCAAGGGGTTGATTCACCTGAATTCATATAAATAGGAAGCATTTTGACTCGTAACTATAACCTTTAACTCCTAACCTTCACAATTAATTGCATATTAAATGGAATCTCCAGAAGAAGAATCATTTATTCACTGAATACCAGGTGTAACTTAATTCCAGTGATATACTAAATAAAAAGTAATAATATTTTGTACAGATGAATGCACTCTGTGCAGAACAGAGCCTTTATGTGCTTTATGCATGTGTAGTAGAGCACATTTTGAACTCAATACGAAATAACCTTATGACCCCAGATGTTCATACATAATGTTCTAATACCCACTTGTTTCTACGGTGACAGGACTTTGGGTGTTGTGTGCTATATACGTGTGCCATTAACAGAAACTTAACACACTAAGACTTGAGAATGCTGCTTAGTATTAAATCAGCAGTACATAACTGTCACACTTATTGAGTAAACCTACACCTATGGTATTATATACGCTATATGGCCAAAGGTTTGTGGACACCTGATCATCACACTAATATGCGGGCCTTCCCAAACTGTTGCCACAAAGTTGGAAGAAGTCAATTGTCTAGAATATCTTTGTATGCTGTAGCATTGCAATTTCTCTTCACTGGAACCAAGGAGTCCAAGTATGTTCCAGCATGACAATGCACAGGGAGTACTGTCATGATGGAACATATTTGGAAGGGAGATCCAAACACCATGAAGACATGGTATGCCAAAGTTAGTTCGGAAGAACTCTAGTGGCCTGCACAGAGCCCTGACAGTGCCAGATGAACTGGAATGCTGACTGCACCCCAGGCCTCCTCACTCAACATCAATGCCTGACCTCACTAATGCTCTTTGGCTGAATAAGCACAAATCCCTATAGCCACTCACCAACTAGTGGAAAGCCTTCCTAGAAGAGTGGAGGACAACAGCAAAGGGGGGATTAAATCTGGAATGGCAAGTTCAACAAACACATATGGGTGTGACGGTCAGGTGGCCACAAACTTCTGGCCATACGGTGTAGATTTGGTGACCTGAAAATGCTATGAGACAGACTGTGCTATGTATGTGTGTGTGTGTGAGACAGAGGTTTATTTATTTATTTATTTATTTTTTAATTTTATTTATTCATTACCTCTCATCATCATTAATAAATTACTCTGCATCACTGTCCAACGTTTTATTGAAGTTATGATGAGAAATGGCAGTGGACAAAATGTTAAATCTGAACTTAACCCTGGCAGGAATTGAAGTTGTGAGAGAACATCAGTGCTGCAAGACCCACGGAGTTTGCTGGAGCCAGTTGCCTTATCTAGTCATAATTAATTTAATTAATTTAGAAGCCATAATTAATTTAGATCAAATTTAGAAGACCATTCCAATGTCTCTAGTCGCTGGAGCTGGAACCAGAGTTCAATGTCAAGGAAAAGAGTGTCAATACTTTAAGTCTATAAACAGCTGTGGAAACATCTGCCAGAGTGAATAACCTAGGTTGCATATACTGGCTAATACTTGCATGGCAATCACATGGGACTAGGCAGACAGTGGAAAAAAAAAGCTGAAGTTGTGACTGTACTAAAAGTAGTCTTCCTTAGCCTCCTTAAAAATGTATGCTTATATGAAAAGTTTTATCATGTTAATATGCAAGCATTTAGACAGTAGTCAATGTAACTGTGTAACCCCTGAAGCATAAGCATGATGCAGAAATGATTTCTAAATGTAGCACTTGTTGCTGAAGTAATGTTTCTGTTTCAACCTGTTGGAAGCATTACACAAACTAAATTATATATAATTATCTGTGTCATTAAACACAATATGTCATGACTTATTAAATATGATTTATGACTTTGGTGGGGTGCAGGGTGCTGACAGATTTGAGCAGGATGTAGAACTGAGGAGGACCAAAGAGGAATCATGCGTTTTGGTTATGAAATCTCCATGTGACTTACACAAATGATCTCGCTTAAATCATAAACTTTATGCTAAGGTTAAAGTGCTGTCATTTGCAAAGGATCATCTGATGACCTGTCAGGTGAGAAGAGATTCCAGTAAAGTTTAGATCAGTCTCTAATGTGATTTAAGGACTGTTTAAAAGCAGTAGGCAGAGCACACAGAAGCTCAAGCGTAATTGTGTTTAGTCAGAAAAGAAAAAAAAAAAACCCTGACTAAGCACTGATAAACCTACCCCAGCAGGACTGCACAACTGACTTTGTCTTTTCATTTACCCTGTACTCTTAGGTGGTATAACTAAATACAAACAGCAACATGAGGCAGCTCAGTGGTAATATCTGGAGTCTGAGGTCCATAGTGCATAACCTGTGTATTATGGAACATTGAGCTATACCAGTCTGCATTATTTGTATGTGTCTGCAGAAATCACTATGCTTATAAACGCAATTTTGCCCAAAGACTTAAAAGGGTACAATATGAAACTGGCCACCGATTTTTTTTCCCTGTTTGACCAAGTTTAAATTTGGTGTAAGATCACTTTGTGTTACTGATTATGCAACCAACATTTTACACTGGGATTTTGTGAAAACAGTTATTAATTTGGAATTTACTTCGAAAACGCTGCTGCAACTTTACTGAAAAAAATTCCTCCACAAAGCTCACTCTATTCACACCTCATCCATTCACCCATCCACACACAAATTCTCACCTGTTCGGCATCAGGTGGTGCTCTTTTTATTCAAACCCATTGTAGTACTCATTTAATATAGATTTTAAGACCCTGGAATAAAGATTCTATCTGACAATTCTGGGATTTTAAAATATTGCACCATCATGTGTTGGGCCACATATTGTCTTTAGATACAGTTTCTAAAAGGGAAACCCTCTCTGTCGAAAGTCAGAACCTCAGAGAGACCAGATGGAGAAGTTGGAGTAACCCGTGGGATTGTAGATACACTTTTTTGTTTTTTTGTTTTTTTAAGAGGGCAGCAAAGGAAGTAAAAGGCTCTGTAACAGATAACAAGGAGGTGTTTCTTAGCAACTTTTGTTCCATATGAGACCAGGATGTTGAAAATCACTGAAACACTTGCTGGATAATCTTGTGATCTTGTGCAGTTTGGAGCAGATCAGATCAGATCAGATCAGCAGTAAGCACTGACTTCAGCTCAAAGCAATGTTTACGCAAATACAAACTGTAAATCAATGATTCTTGTTTGGCAGCATAAAAAGACAATAACTAACCTTTCTTGTCCATCAGCCAGACAAACAGGAGCCATGGCAAGAAGCCCACGGGTCCCCAAAGGACTAAAATGGCAATGTCCGTAGATGAGAAGCCGAAAGCATGCTTGGCAGAGTTTTGGATGGGACCCCATGTGTTCCACACCATCCCTTGTAAAAAGGCGAGCATTGAGAACAAGGTTAACAC